AAGCCCCAGGCAACCAGAAATACCCAGTGAAAGAAAATATTTGTTTAGTATATCAAAATGCTCTCCTGCCTCACATGCTACAGCCCCCAAAAGAAAGCTTGGGTTTTATGGGATTTGTTTTGTTTTGTTTTTTAGTTATATTTGGTGGGTATTTTTGCTTGTTTTACATCTTAATGTCTTTCAACACATGACATCTTTTTTTCTCAAGGATATTCTCTTGCTGTTCCTTCCAAAAATTTGAAGAGGAAGTTTACCAGTTTCTCTGGTGATGAATGATCATCTCTTTGGCAAAAGACTGTCTGGTGGGACATAGTTGCTCCAATTAGAACTAATAAACGGGGGATTTATCAAGTGGTCATCACTGTCTAAGGAAACGAACCACACCTTGCTTCCTTACTTTAGGCTTACCACACACTTTCACTTCCTATCTAATAATTGAATTATCTAATGAAATTGTTGTATTGTCCTGTTACACAGAGAGGGAAACTTGGGTTTCAAGGGCCGTGTGGCCCATGAAGGTCATCCTGGGAACGTTGGCCTTATATCCAGACAGACTCCATTGGATTTAAGACTCTATTGGATGGCTGTCTGACCTCAGTTCTTAAACAGAAGAGGCACCAGAATGATGCTTAAGAACTTACCCACCAAGGAGCATACTCTGTGTGCAAAGGATGCTCCCTCATGCACTCAGCTCTGTTCCTCAAAGACTCCTCACGGTGTTCACAAATGTTGACTGAATGAATGACACCCAACTCTTATACTATTCCTTGTCCTTGGGTTATTATTAGGCTTTTGAAAAAGCATTTGACCATCATTAATAAGCATTTTGCATAGTTTTAGCTTTACTACAATCTGTTGTTTGCAAGCCCAAATAGAATTAATTTCTTTTGAAATCTATATGAAAGGTTCTCTATCTCTAGTAAAATTTAGGTGTTTCAGCAATAATGAAAAAGTGTTGCAGGGAAAACAATCATGAATTATCAAGCTTCCAATGAAACAGCCCTTCCACTTGCACAGGGAGGAAGATGGTCTGAGGAGCAATGTAATGCTGGGTTCCTTCCTTGAACTATTCCATCATCACACAAACCTAACAAGTTGTATAAGATTTACAGCAAGAAAATAGACCAGTGTAATGCCACATACTTTTTAAATTGAGCTTTTTTCAATGATGTCATGAGATACTACTTTTCATTTTCATGCACAAATGTGCAACCGTGTGCTTTAATAAGTACATTAAGTCAGAGTTAAGTCTGTTGTATCTCCTGTCAAATTTGCCAAGACTAACAAAATAAATGTGTTTCTGTTTTCAAGAGAAGCTTGTAAAACTATAAACCTTAGCACAATCCTTAGGGTGTTTTCTTAGCTTCAGAGCAGGGGAAGTTTTTTTGTTTTTGTTTTTGTTATTTTTTCCCCCAAGGTGCTTACAACAATAGGTAAAAAGTCAGGATTCAAGAATTTTGTCAGAGGGTGGGGCAAGTCCTCTGGTGTGGGATGCCTTTCAGGGACCTAAAAGTTTGCCTGCACCAAAGTCATTTTTGTCTTACATAAGGCAGAAATTTCTGGTTTAGCATAGTCTTGTCTATAAACTCTACACAGGTCATTGCCGCACTGTAGTGAGGATCCCAGGTTGAAACTAAGGCACCACCATGCTGGATGCTGGTAAGGGTGTCTGCTGGTGGGAAAATAACTTTAAACATTCCTTCATTCTGTGATTTCATGACTTGGTCCATGGCTTCCAAGGTGGAAGAGAGAGGTGCCAAAAACCTACAGTAATATCATCAAAGAAGTAGCCTAGTGGTTAAGAACACAGGTTTTAGAATCAAAATGCCTGGCATCAAATTCTAGTCCTATCCACATATGCACCACAGACAGAAACTGAAATATTGGAGTAATCTCATTCTTTACATTAAGAGCAAGCCATTTAAAGGACAGACATTACAAGGGTGGGAAAATATTTTTTTTCTGCCTTTCTTACTTCAGGCAAGACTAATAAATTGACATGAGATAGATTAATGGGAGAAAAATGATGTAATTTATTATATATTCACATACAGGGGTTCCAAAAGACCAGGAAAAGAGACTTGAAGATGCATTAGGCAGATGAGGATTACAAGGGCTGTCCAGAAGTTACCCAGCCATGTAATATGAAAAGTAGAGACATTTATTGAAGAAGATACAATATACGAGAAACATTGTATGTAGGAAAATGTCCCCTTCAAAGTAGGCACCTAGGGACCTCACACAGTTCTCCCAATCACCATCAGCTGCCCTGTCATATTTTCCTGATCTCATCAATAGTCTGAAAGCTCTTCCCTTTCAAAGGTGATTTTACTTATGGGAAAGGCCAGAAGTCACAGGGTGCCAAATCTGGGCTGTTAGGGGACTGAGTCACCTAGGTGATTTAATATTTCACCAAAAATCCCTGTGTGAGAAATGATGCATAAGCAAGCACGTTGTCATGATGAAGCTGCCAATCACTGGTTGCCCATAGCTGCAAATTTCTGAATCATACCAGTAGTTTCTGTGAAGGAATGTTCAAGCCTTAATGCAAAATTTTATGCAGATTTGTTGCTGTACTCAGTCATTTTGAAGATGACGGCCACACAGTACACATGCTCACTCAATGGTGTCTACCACCCCCACTGACTAGTACAGTGAAGCGGCCATTGTTCACATAGGTGCCTTCCAGTCCACTCACCTTGGCTGCCAGGTTACATTGATGTTATGCAAACCATCTCATTATATTAACAATGGCTGGACTTTTTGTGGGCAGACCTTGTATATGCCATTCTGGACTAAGGAGAGGGAGCCAGAGCTCTGGGGCTTCAAAGGGAAAGCAGACAATTTACTGGAAGATGAGAAGGAACAACTGTGGTAACCATATTCATGCTAGGTGTCCCAGAAACAATGGGAAATAGAGGGGAGTTTAACAAACAGATGTGCTCTATCCTCCATGTTTCCCATACTTAATTCATGTATACTAAGTTGAATATGCTAAGGCTGCCTTTTTGAAGCGGTCTTTTCTATTTGAATTTTTTTAAGCAGGAAAGGGGAAGAGTCAGTGGTTCTTTCTGAGTCTTTTGTTCCTTAAAAAAAAACCAGCATAAAATAATCAGTGTCCCAAAAGTCATATTTTGAGGGTGGTAAATGCTGGTCCCCTTCCGTAAAGATGGATACTGTTTGAGGACCTACTGTTTCTACAAATCCATTTTCAGCTATTCCCCACATTAGTGATGCTGTAGATAAAGGATTCAAGGCATCCCTAATTAATAAATCTACTGGCAGGTAGTTTTTTACCTTCAGTTTTCATACCATGTATTGTTGCTGCCCTTGCAATTAATTCAGCTTTAACTTTTGCACAAGACAGACTCGAACAACTGATAAGGATTTTCATTCTACATAGATAACTCTCATTCCAACAATGCTACTCTATTCATGACGCTCTGGGGCAAGTTGTTCTGTTTGTTCTATTGCTTGTGCTGCTCCCTTCAGACCCACTAGGAGTCACAGACAATCACTCTCTACTTACCTCACTACATGGATGGATATTCCTCATTCGTGGTGTAGTTCTACTCATGGAATTCATAGCTGAGTGATTCTATATCCCATTCTGAAGAATCTGGGGAAGGTTTTGTTCTTCATAAACACAATTCTCAGATAAATCCTAATGGTCATACCAAACAGTGATGCTTAGGCAGGTTAATCTCTGTGCCTCACTTTTGTTAACCATAAAACAGGCATAATAATAGTGCCTCCTAGTGAGGTTATCATTAGGACAAATTACATAAACATGTAAACCTTAATAGACCAAAGCTTGGCACTATTACTATTATTATTACTATTATTACTGTTGTTACTATTTATCTATTATTTTTATACAATGCTTCTGCCTGCTAGCCACTCTGTGTCTTCATTAGTTCTGGCTGCTGTAACCGAATACCACGTGCCATGTGGCTTAAACAACAAAAATTGATTTCTCACAGTTCTAGAAGCTATAAGTCTGAGTATAGTCAAAGTGCCAGCATGGTTGAGTTCTGGCGAGAGCCCTTTTCCTGATTTACAGACAGAGCCATTTCCACATTGTGTCTTCACATGGTGGAGAGAGAGGTGCCTAGCTCTCTTCTTCTTCTTATAGGGATACGAAGGCCATCATGGAGCTCCATCCATGTGTCCTAATTACCTCCCAAGGTTTTGCCTCCTATATGAAGTTACTGTATGAGTTTGAGGAGAACACAGACATGCAGTCCATATTGCTCTGTATCTTGAGTCACTGCTGAGTGTTCCTGTGAGGGGAACAAAGGAGGACAGAGCACCTCCGGTGACTCTTCCTTGCCTCTTACTTCACACCCCATCGCTTAGTCCAAAGGGGTGTAGACTCCTTCTAGGCTCAGAAAGAACTCTCAGTTACAGGAAATATGGTGAAGCACTACAGGCTTTCTTAGATACAATCTATCTGTCAGAAAAATCATTAATAAGATCCTTCTCCAGTTTATGTGGCAATACATGGCATAGGAATGTTTGCTTATTAATCACAGGATTGCGAACTATGGAACTTGGCTTGACTTCAACAAGGAACATTATTTATTTTTTTATTATATATTTTACTATTTTTAAAATTCTTTAAAAAAATTTAAATTGATTTTTAGAGAGAGAGAGGAAGGGAGAGAGAGAAAAACATCAATTTCTTCCACTTATTCATGCATTCATTGGTTGATTCTTGTATGTACCATCACTGGGGATGGAACAAACCTACAACCTTAGTGTATGGAGTGGACATTCTAACCTACTGAGCTACTCTGTCAGGGCTACAAGGAACATTTTTAAATGTTAATGTTACATTTTCTAGCAGAAAATTATAAAGAACACTTAGGAAAACCTATTTTGAATAGGTAGGACTTAATGAGATTCTGATTTTTTTCTCTAGTTCATTAAAATTATAATCTAGTGGCATAGTAAAAATCAATACTGGGTATATTAAACAAAGTGTTTTTCTTTTAAAGATATTCTGGAGTGTGTACAATAATATTCCTCCTGTGACTAGCCTGCCTTTGAGATGTAGTTATCATTTAATGAGAGGAGAGAGGCGACCACTTTGGTAAGTATCTAATGTTAACTGGAGGTTAGGGTGGGAGGGAAATGATTGTAACCCTCATTAAATACTTCATGTTGAACTGGAATGCCAAAGCACTTTTCTCCAGGTGTTACTGGAAGTAATTTTAGCTTTACTTAAATATGAAATAAACCCTTGCCCTCCACCCTGTTCACCTTGGGCTCAGGATGGAGAGAAGTTTTCTTGGTGCTTCTCTCCCAAGGGCCCAATTCAATCTCCCACAAATGGGGTCTTACTAGTGCCCTGAAAGTACGATGCAGCCCTTTGTGTGAGGGTTGCATCGTTTGGGCTTCTTTCATTAGTTCTATAACTACCTGAGCAGTTGAGTGGAAAAGCTTATAGGCTGGTAGGGATCTGAGGGAGACAGATGGAGGATCCATGCCTGTTGTATGGTTGAACAAGATCATGTCACTAAAGATAGATATCTCACATGGACCACAAAAAGTGTATGGTACTGACCATGGCCTAGGGTCTGGGCGAGGGAGCATCCTTCTTTATTTAATGGCTCAGTGCAGTGATGAGGACTGTGGGCATAAAGTCAATTTGCCTGGGCTGGAGTCCCCGTTAGTAACAAATCCTTATATCCCTCAACTATTCGAAGTTATGGTCTCATAAAATGGGAATGTATCTCAGCTCCTTTGGTAGCAAATGACAGGAACTTAATCTGAGCAAAAAAAAATGTTTTTTGGCTTCTATAACTGAGAAGTCCAGTGGTAGGGCTGATTCCTGACAGATGTGAGTACTCAAATATTAGCTAGAAACATGATGCTGTCCATCAGATTTGCTTTGCTTTCCTCTGCATTGATTTAACTTTCAGCTCCCATTTGAGAGGGAAAAATGGCTCACAGTACCTCCAATCTTGCACCCCACAAGGTTATCCATGTCAGCATTCACCAGCCCCAGGAAAATACCAGGGCTGGTTCTCATTGGCTCACTTGGGTCACCTTTCTATCCTTGACTGATAACAAACACTAGCAAGAGATAGTATCTCATGGGCAAACCTGGGTCACAAGCCCATCTTAGAAGCTAGGGTATGCAATTACCCCTATCTGAATGGATCTGACATAAGAATAAGGGACAAGTGGTTCCTTAAAGGGAAATCAGGATGCTTTTACCAGACGAGGAAGTAGACACTAAACAGGGAAGCACAACAAATTCCCACCGAAGGTGTTGAGTCTCCTAATAGACCTAAGAGACAAGGTTGATATGAGTCAGACAAGGCAATGCCATTTTCCTGATATTGAAATGTAAGGGGCCTATACATAGGCGAAGCACTGGTGTTAATTTGTCCATTCCCAGGTAATCTAGGGAACCTCTCATTACCACCTCCTTGGAGATAAGCACCTCATGTTGCATCATCTTCCCTGCACTTGTCACTTAACTTGCTTCTATTTCCAATAAAAGTACTGGGGGAGAGGTTTTTTTTTTAAGAAAGCTGGTTTGTGTTTATTTTTTTTTTTTTTTAAGATTTATTTATTTTCAGAGAGAGGAGAAGGGAGGGAGAAAGTGAGGGAGAGAAACATCGGTGAGTCACCTTGCACACCCCCAACTGGGGACCTGGCCTGCAACCCAGGCATGTGCCCTGACCAGGAATTGAACCAGCACCCCCATAGTTTGCAGTCTGGCCCTCAGTCCACTGAACCACACCAGCCAGGGGTTTTTTTGTTTGTTTTTGATGTCACCTGTTGTTAAAGTAAATGTATATACAACCACTTAATCCTTGAGTATAACTTCGGACCTTGGTCTTTGATCCAGGGAAGAGGAAAGTAATGCAAAGGGTGGCGTATGGAAGATGAAAGTTCCCAAGGACAGCACGGTAGGTTTGTTCTGATCCTTTTCAGAAACTGACTGAGCTTGGGGTTGTTGATTACAAATGGTGACATTTTGTGCTTTTAAGACAGCCTGCCTGGTCATCTCAGAACAGGACTGGGGGTGAGAAATTCTTTTCTGACTTTGGTGATTTTCTGTCTTACACTGTCACCTTGAAATTATGTTACTGTGCTTCTCTGTAGAAGTTGTGTATTAGTTTTACTGTGTCATAGAGTGTGAAGAGCTAAATGCCTATAACTTTTACAGAAAGCTTATTATCGTTATGGTGATCATTTCCTCATCAAGCAGTACCTAACATGTGGATGTTGGTTTTACAAAGCAAGAAGCAGGCTCCTTCCTAACCAAAGGCATGTCCCTCCTCCACTGGCGGCAAAGTGGTTCAGAGAATGACCATAGCATTGAGAGTGAGGGTGCTAGGGAGGCCTGGATCTCACCATTCTCAGGAGTTCCACGTGAGGCTGATGGGAACCTGGATAAAGGAATAGCTTGGTGGGATGCTGCTTTGCTATGGCCAAGCCTCAGAAACCTCAATTTTCCAGGGGTAGGTGGGCTCAAATTTATCATGCTGACTGAAACTGAATGTTCATATCTGCTCTTAAGCCCTGGGAAAGCAAAAGACTTCTTTGAAAATAGATGAAAGGGCAAATGCTACCCGTTCTCACCTTTTCATGGTTTCTTTCATGTGGATAAGCTCAAAGGATTGAACTGTCTCCAGAGACCCCTACAGTTGAGCAAGGGGTCATTTTCCTATAAGCACACACCCAAAGATACAGCAAGATTTATTTGTTAAAGATGCAAACTCGTAGTCAAGATGTATAGCTCTAAGACTGGCCTGTTGTTTGGCATACATAGTAGAAAATGTCAGGGGAGCCAGTGACCAATTGGTTATTAAGGCCTATGAATCCACTCTGTCCCCCTTAAAAAGGAGAGAAAGCAGATAGTGTAAGAGGAGAGAATGTAAGTTTTTTAAAATTTCAGTAAAAACAATTTTCTTTTTCATGTTATTTTCTGACCCTAGACTGAATACTAGTTGAAACAATCAGGATGCCAATTTTCAGTGAAAAGAGGCTGACAGGCACGTTTGTGCTTTCCTTGTTAGCCCAACTGGCCACATTCACAAATAATAACGCTTCAGGTCTACGCAAGCGTTACCCTCCTGAGCAGTTTGGTGCACACAGCTGTCAACGAGTAGGAGTCTGGTAGACCAGCCTTGTCTGAATCCAAAACAGGACGGGAAACCTTCCTTTCCCTAACGTCCTTCCTTCCCCTCAACTTCATCACTAACAGTGTAAGAGACTGATAGTTGGGACAGATAGGAAAGAAAAGGATGATTTCTAGATGGGCGACTTGTAGACCAGATGGGAGAGTCTAGGAAAGAGAAAAGAAAATGATCCTCAAGAGTAAGAGGTCACAATGGTTAACTGCTGTCATCTGGGTTAAAAGTTCAGCAAGGCTGCTTTCAGCTCATTAGAATGTAATAATAAACACTATTGTTATGGTTAATATGTATGGAGCCCCTGGCATGTAGCAGACATACAGCTATTTATAGAGTGGTTGAGTCCTTTGGCTGCAGCCACAGTGCTAAGTCCTTCCAACACATTTTTTGACTACTGTCATGGTCTCGACATCCCTGGGAGGTCAGGCACTCTTATTATTCCCTGTCCATATGTGGAACCCTGTGCAGAGAGGTTGATAGCCTGCCCAACTCATAGGTACTAAGCAAAGCAGCCTGTCAGGAATCAAACCCAATTCTGGGAGAGTTCAGAGCCTGTGGACCAAGGCAAGGAAGATAAATGGGACTAAGAACTATTCAAGATGAATAACTGGAAAAACTTCTAGGCCTTCAATAACCTGTTTGTTGCATGGCATTGGTAGATCTTAAATAGAAAGACTCCATTTTTTCTCACTGGAGGTAGACAAGACCATGTACTGATTCTCCTGGGAAAATGCATACATACACTCGTATAGTTCTATCACTTAACATAAACAGTCTGTCTTAAGTGAATAGAAATTTGCAAGTCTCTAGTATTATTCAGTCAACCAGAAATTTCCTTAAGTGCTCTTTACTTGTGTAACCTTTTAAGTACCTTATAAACTGCAAGAAAAACAGAGAAAGGGGTTTTAAAGATGAGGATTTTACTAATAGCATTCAACTATAACTGGTTAATATATTTTGAATCAGAGAGAGGTAAAGAAATCAGAAAATTACATCATTTGAGTGCATTTTTCCACAATTATTTGAATTTTATTGGGGATTTCACTAGAAATTAGCTTTGTGACTTAGGACACCAACGTTTTTGGACACAAAGTTTGTGACTCTGGATCACTGTATCTATCTGTGTAAAGTTATTTGTCAAACAGTACACACACACTACTGTTGTGTTTACCCCTGTAATTAGGAGATGTCCGTGGGCTGTATACATCGGCATGGAAAGTGTACATGAAGTTGTGGAAAATGGGACTTGTCTAGCTCCTGGATATAATTGTCTAAAAAACAAACAAACAAACAAAAAATATATATATATATATGTTGTGTTTTTTTGGTTTTGTTTTTTGTTTTTATTCTTTTTCACACCAGTCCACAGTTTGGAAAGAGTTGTTGTTAGCGACTATCGGGGAACAGTTCACAGACTGTGCTGCAGCAGGTAAAGAGCCATGGCTCATGGGCCCGCTTGGGTGTGCTTGGCTTGTGCTTGTCACTTACAGAAGTTTGTGTGTGTTTGACTTTTTACATGTTTTGAAGTTGTTTATTTTGTAACTGTGAAGTTACTTTGATTTATTCATGTGATTGTGGCATTTAGTGTTATATGTGTATACTATATGTATATATACGTCTGTGTATATGCATATGTATGTTCCCTCATAACTCATCTTAATAGTGTCTATGACCATCTGTCCAAAATAAATAAGACAAAAGAAAAGAAAATATGGTATCAGTTGGACTCTCAACACAACTCTTGGTTGGTTTCCTATTTCAGTTCTTCTAGAGGGGAAAGTGCCTTTGTTATCTAGTGAAGTTTGTTAGGTAGGCACAATTCCTTCTATCCCTCTCAGTTCCTTTCCCCTTTATCCTGTCCCTCTCTTGGTCCCTTGCTCAAAGGGAGTAATAAAGGATAGACAGGATGTACTTACTGTTATTAGCTGTGACCCCACAATAGAGGCTAAAATATAAGGTCTTCATTGTATTTGGAGACCATTTTCAAATACTGAGTGAATTTCTGAGAGCTCTGTGAGTACATTTTTATTTTGCTTTGCTTTTATCATGAAACCACTCAAAGATGGGAATTGAATTGCTCGTTTAAAGTTTTGTTTTTCTTGGGCAGTCCTTCCTGGGTGGATGCTTCTGAGGTAACATTTAGAATCACATCTTTCCTGTTCAGCTTTCAGTTATTCATTTATTTATTTATTTTAACAAGTTGGTATTGAGTAATTTGCCCTCAGATGTCTTGGCTGGTTGTGATTTTTGGAACCCCTGTACGCCTACCCAGTGCTATGGCAAGTTTCAAATCCATCTCACTAACAGTTTTGCTCATTCTTTTCTTTTACTTTCTTCTTACACCACTTTTTTATTTACATAAGACAAAACCTACTTAAGGTGAAATTGCCTTTAAAAAATACAGATTCCTCCTATTTTAATAGGGAGTGGTTAGCAACTTCACAATCTGCAGCCAAAGTGAATCCTAGGTATAATTATATGCAAATACCAAAATCCCTGGGAGAGGAATTTTTCTGTATGAATTATTCCCATTTCCAGAACCAGGGGAAATTATCTAAGTAATAATGAATTGCCAGAATTAAGTAAAGAAGACCTCTTGTTCTGTGGTTGACTCAGAAAAGTAGAGCACCATTAACTATTCACCATTAGCCTTCCATAAACCTGGCTCTGCCACCTGAAGCAAGTCAGCTCATCCCCCATCTTTACACAGTAGCTCATCATGGCTCTGACATCTTACGCTGCCAATACCCTAAAATAATCAGGGTTTTTCTGTTGACTCTGCTTATGACTATTACATGTTTGCTGATGGATCTGTCCTTGCATAAGAGTTGCAGCCTTTTTACCACGCATGTTCTGAAAGCACTCTACTAGTAGACTATGCCTAGTTACCAAAAGCCAAGCCAAACTGAAATTTGACAGTTTGGCATATTCAGCACCCTCTGACCAAAAGTGTAGGAATAGGCCAAGTCGAAAGACTGGAAAATGCTGATATTTTCCTGAAAGACTGATGTAGTAACTTCATGACCATTCTTGAAAGTGGTAAACTGTAGAGCTTCCCTCTTTACTTGAAAACTTTATGTTCACATAAAATTTAACATAACTGAGCTCTAGCAAGTATATTTTATAGGTGTAAATAAAACAAATGTTTTGATGGAATAAATTCCTGTTGAATGGTCATGGTCAGGTACTATTTAATTTTTTGGAAGTTGTTTAAATGTGACATATATACAAAAAAGTACACAAGCTATCATGTATATAGATTGATAAATAGTCACAAAGTAAACAGATCCCTGTCACAAGCCTCCATATCAATGAGCAGAACATTATTGGCCCCCAGAATCCCTCTTCATTCTCCTGCCCCCCAAATATGGCTGCCAGTCTACTTCAAACATCATAGGGCTGATTTTCCCTGTTTTCAAACTTTTGTATAAATGGAACCATTTAGTGCCAAATCATACAAGTTTAGCTGAACCAAATTCATTTAAAAAGGAAAGAAGGAAGAGAGGGAATGAGGAAGAGAAGGAAGGAGGAAAGAAAATAATTATTTTACTGAAGATGAATTTCTTTAGTAAATTGGACATGTGCTTATTTCAATTGTATTTAAATAACAGAATGTTTTAACTTGCAGAAGACAATTGGAAGAACTGATGACGTAAATTATTTAGAGTTACCGATTTACAGAAATTTATGCAAAGCATATTTTTTAAAGCAACATTTTCTAATTTTGGTGCTTACCTTTTTCATTTTACTTCTTGTTGCTGGGTATGCAGGTTCAGGGAGCTGACCCTATTTCATTGATTTGTCATAAATATGCAAACCAGGAGTCAAAAGTCTTTACTCCTATCATTTTGCTGCAAATTAACATACACAAAGTGGCTGCAAGGAGAGTACAACAAAACTTTACTGATCTGGACACCATTCTCAAATATTTATAAGGTAGCCCCAAATGCAGAATTTAGCTTTGTTTTTTTTTTTTTTAAAGACCTCTGTTAATTAATGTGGGTAAATGCTTTAATGCCCACCCACTGCAGTGCCATGATAGCAGAGCCACACTCAGAAGATATTTACTCTTTCTTTATACACAGTGCTAACAAATGGTCATTGATTCTCTAGCCCATAGTTAAGAAGCCCAAATATGGAACAGGGATGGCTAGATAGAAGCTCTGGAGAGCAAGAGGCATCAATAGGAAAGGAGACAAGCAAACCTCCAAAAGCAAAAAGAGTAGCTCAGAATACACAGTCGAGGTCTAGTTAGTGTCGGGGCAGTTAGTACTGATCACCCTAAGATATCTGAACGCTTGGCAGGAAGTAAGGAGAAATACTTGTTGTTCTTAACAAGGGCAGTCAGGCATCGAGGAAAAGTTCATTTGAGTTCACTTGGCTTTCAGAGGGCAGAGTTATGCAACTCATTTTAGAAAAAGTCTCATCAAAACAGAGTAAGAAATAGTCAAAAAGCTTTGGTAACATGTTTAAAAGGGTAAATTATTTATCCAGAAAATTTGTTTGACTAGAACATTTTGTTTATCTAAGTCCCTGGTTAAATGTGATATGATTGCTACAGCTCTCACCCAATAACTTGCTTTTTGTCCAACTATTCTTTAGAAACAAGTATTTATTATGGGTTATCTTGTGCCACCTTCTTTTTATCATCTTAATTATAACTTACAGATGAAATAATAAGTGCTTAAAATATAATGCAGGCAGATTTGAAATTATCACTCATTTCTTTTTTCCTGCCTTTCCCTTAGATGACGAAGTAATAGGAGTCAGCGTCAGCGTTCGGGACCGAGACGACGTAGTCCAAGTCTGGAATGTAAATGCCTCTTCAGTGGGCGAAGCGACTGTTTTAGAAAAGATCTATGAACTCCTGCCCCACATATCATTTAAAGCAGTATTTTATAAACGTAAGTGCTCTATTTCCCGTTATTACTTTCAATTCTATCATACTTTTAAAAATAGAAACTGTGTTGCAAATGAGGTGAAGGCAGAATCACTTGAAATTCTGTAATCCAGAAAATATTTCAACAAAGTACATTTAAGTGTTTAAAAAAAAGTTTAGTCTCAGAAATGAGAATGAGATTTAATTGTTGCCTAACTAAGTACATATGCACATGTTGTACTTATCATTTCAGAAATTTGAGCCTGATCTTAAATTTGTCATTCTCAGAAAAAAATTACCTTGTATTTGAAGCAACAGTAACAAAAATGTTACTATATGAGCTGGCACGTAGATATTCAATCATGTCTTCACAAACAGGATTTTATTATATGCATATATAGCATCTGTATTTGTGAAGGAACTCTTCTGAGCACAGCAGTGATTGAATATTCTACTGACATGCTAATGCTTTCTCATTACTGATGACTGTGACACAGAACTGAGGGAGAATTCATGCACAGTGGTGGACTGTTAAAAGTATGAATAGGTGTGTGGACCCATTGTTTCCATCATGATTCATGTTCATTGCTTTTGTGTGCTCTTTCGAAAAAGTCATTTTTGTCATAATGAAAACAGGTTAGTGTTATTAAGCCAGTGTTTGGTAGATCAAACTTGAGGTTACGCTTTCAACAATGAAATAGAAGCTTTGGCAGCCCTACACATATATGACAAATTTCCTGTTTCCCAAACTTGGCTAAGAATCAATAACCCAATTTTTTGTTAACTCTTGTATTTCATTGAATCTAAGATGCCCTTGATGATAAGTATCATTTTAGTATTAATGAAAAATAAAAATAAAAGGCTCCCAGTTAAACTATGACACTTTGACTTCAGGGGAGCCAGTGAGGGGAGCACATCTTAGAATTGCTGAAATACATACTTCATTTACTGTTTCACTTTTCTGAGCCCCTTGCTCAATGGAGGGGAGGGAATCAAATTTTATTTCATGATAGTCTTAGCACAATGAAGAATATTACAACTAAGGCCTCCCTCTAAGAAATCACACAATCAGGCCAAGTGATTAAAATTTCAACAGTGAGAGTAAGCTGGTGCTGCAGATATTCAGGAGGTGCCTAAGGTTCTAAATTTTAGATGGCTATTTAAATAAAAGAAACAAAGATGGCAATTTAAATAAAGGAAATAAAGAAGTTGCTTATTGGCTGTCAGTGTGGAAATTGCACATTTGTAGATACAATTTTCATTCCTTAGGGAACATTAATGAATTTTCAACCCAGATATTAATTTCTTCCTTCTATTCCACAAGACTAATCACAGCCGAAACTCTCTGGAAGGAAATGTTTCGTTGTCATTTGTGAACAGGGCTAAAACATTCTTTACCATCTTTGAACCCGCTTCACAGTTCACTCAAAAGAGGGGAGAAAAAGTATGGAATTATTAAGTCAGGCACTCTGGATTTTTGTCCGACATCAACAGTGTGACCTTGAGTAAGTCACAACTTCTCATCCTTCTACTTGCTCATCTATGTAGTGAGGAGGTTGGTCTTAAATGATCTCCAAGGTCCCTTCTACTTCAAAATCATATGATTCCATTTCCAGGTAACATATTGGTTAGCAGTAGGTTCAACATAATATGAGTGTTTCATTAGACGATTATGCCGATTAGGCGATTAGAGTGGTTAGGCTGATTTTTAGGACAGCCGCTGTCATCAGGCAAGACTAAACAAAGATGAGCCCCTGCTCAGCTTTTGTGATGGACAGGGGGTTTGGGAGGAGCCAAACAAAGGGAGGAAGTTGCAGCTTTGCCAGTTGAATGAAGCTGAGTAGACACCCTGAAGACAGATTTCATAGTGAAGTTTATGGGTAATGCAGAACTGGCTACAGGTCTCAGTAGAAATCCATATTTTAATGGTATAAATTACATTTAAAAACTCAAAGATGAATCAAATGAAAATTTGAATGGGGGAGGGAAAGAAGCAATTCTCTTTATTTTATATAAAGCAGGCAGTCCTTTACTCAGTAGGGTTACATAAACATGCTGTGGAACTGATTTGGAAAACTAGGGTTTGGGCAAAAATCTTATTCACAGCAAGATTAAGAACAGTTGTACAGTGAGGTAAGTTAGAAACGGCCAATTGCATGCTTTCACTCTGTCTTGTTCCTAGGACTTGGTCTAAGTATTCATTCACAGAGTGCAGAGGCAGGTGACACAGCAGGTTTTCCAGCAGGGTGGATGATGACTGGGCTGTTGATAAGTTATATATGATTTGGATAAAGATTGGTTATTTGTCCAAGGAACTCCCCATGTACAGAAACCATTCTTCCCAAATTCTGTTAGGTTTTTCAGAGCAGCTGAATAACAAATGTCTTTTCTGAGGTGAAAACTGTTTAGAGCAGAGGTTGGCAAACTATGAATTGCAAGCCAAATCTGCCCCTTCTTCTCCTGTTCTGTGTGAGCTGCAGCTAAGAACAGTTTTCCATATGTGTATAAGGTGTATGGGTACCTAGCAATGCCCATTTGTGTACATATCTAGGGCTGCTTCATCTTTGAACAGTGGCACAGTTAGTAATGGGCATAAGAGACCCTCTGGCCCACAGAGCCTGCAATATTTATTCTCTGCCCCTTTCCAGAATAAGTTTACTGAGTCCTGGATTAGAGTACTTCTATAATCCCTCTCTGCCAAGGCTCACTTGGGAACAAAGTTCCCTCTGCTTCCCAGACTCTCCCGATCCTGAATGCTCTCTTCTGCTATATCCATGACCCATGCAGCCGTAGCACTTAAGTGTCCCTCACACTTACAAGTAATGCAGGCTTTAGCTAGTTCCTTATCTCTTTATTTTTACCATTTGGAGGGGAGCGTTTCTGTGAGGTCATGGCCATCCCATGTGACCAGAAGCACTGTCTATCTTATTGCAGAGCAGACCATGTTTTCTTTGGTGTCTGCCCTGAAAAATCTTCCCTTAAAAAACATTTTTAAAAAGCATAAAAAGTGAAATATTTATAAAGTTCCCCTTGTGAAAAATGTTCAATTAAATCAATTTGGATTACAGTATACTCTCAGGAGTGCTTAGAAGTTCTTCTCCCAATGTCTTATCCAAGTGAAGAGAAGGTGGGGCGAGCATCCAAGATGATTCTGAAGGGAAGATGCCCCCCCGCCACCAACTAGCCTGAACAATTTAGTCCATATTAAAATCAGAGAATCAGGAGGGATTTCAGAGGTGAAATGGGCCAGACCACGTCTGCCTTCCTAGAACATCTTTGCTGATGGGGTAGGGGGTGGGGGACAAAGTACAGGGGATCTTGAGTTGCCCTTGGTTTTATCAGACCCAAGCCACAGAGGCTTTCCCACTTCAGAGAGGAGAATCTGCCCTTGTTCATGGTGATGGTTAGCCAGATCCAGAAAATAGATCTTCAGTCTTGTCACTTTGCCTTGGAGAAAATACTATGTATTTCATAGGTCTCCCATTTCCCACTTCCACTTTTTTAAAATTTTAAGTCTTTGAAAAATATATTTGATAATTTTTTATCCTAGAGTTTTTAAATTGTAACTAGTAATTTTGCAAACCAGACAGTAGAGATGAGAGAGGAAAAAAAACATGCTTGGGAAAAATAAAAGACCCACCAATTTTATGAAACTTCATTTCCCACAGAGGGGGTTCAGAGATGAGGAGACCTAATTGTTACCACCTTTGTGTTGTTCTTTGTTTTGTTTTAGTTTTGTTCTATTTTATTTTTAAAAATAGGCTTGTGAATGGCCCTGTCTTGGGTAACATGAGGTCCCTCCCTACGCATGCATTCCATGGGGTGCATTTTCCCCACAGAGTTTGTTCAGAGCTTAACGCATTCTCTTCATCAGCTTGTCGGATTACTCATCCTCTCCGGCACAGCAGAAGGAATAGGCAGTATGCCCATTGCTTGTTTATTCCTTGTTTTAATTTTCATTATCACGTTTCTCAGGAAATGCACGCCTTAGCTAACAGTTAGTGGCACAAAAAGGTATTTGAGTTCTTGCCAACATTTGGGGAAACTGAATGAGATGCCTTAGAGAAGGGTTGCCCCATCCTTTGCTTAAAGTTTTCTTTCCTTTTTTTCTTTTTTTTTTTTTTCTGTTCTTTAGCCCATGAAGAGCATCATGCTTTTGAAGGTGGACGTGGAAAACACTAATTGCACTCTAAAGAATTCTTTGTCCTTTGCTGATTGGTTTTGGAAACGGTCTTAACAGGAGGGAGAGTGAAGAGAAGACTTGCCGAAGTCCAATGCTGGTCAATTTAGCGCGGGTTTCTGTCCTTGCAGATTGGGCAATTAGGACTCAAAGTGGCAGGTGGGGTGGTGGGGAGACTGTGTGGGTTTCTACAGTCACATTGCTTCCCTTCTCTTTTTCCTTTTTTTTTTTTTTTTTGGCTTTCTAAATTCTGTGTTCTTTTTACTCTAATTTTTCCCCTCTTCAATTACTTACTTTGTGTAATTATTGTTTTGTACACTCTCATTGAGGCATGAGAAGTCAATTTTCTTTTAAGTAGCTGTACTACACCTAGTTAATGAGAATATGCATAATTGTGACAGGACGGCTTCTGAAAACCATGCCACACTTGCAGGAATACCAGCTAGTGAAACCTGTCTTGATTATTTGTCATGACACACTCCTGTGTACTATGCACTGGGCATTGCTTTTAGTGTCCTAGGGAAAATAAAAACCACATTTAATCACATTTTACACTGACAGCACACACATCTTTTGTTTTTCCTTTTTAAAACTTATATTTTAGTTATAAAAGAAAAATAATAGTTGGGTTGCCTAACATGAAAACCATAATCACAGTTGAGTATCAGGATACAAATCAAACTCTAGGTTTGGATTCTGTGAATGTATTTCTAACCAGAATTTCAATTTGGCCTTTTCAAAGGAAGGTTTAGGATGGTAACAAGGGATTTTTCCAGATAAGAAATGTTATACTTCTGATTTAAAGAGGAGGGAATACTTTAATTATTTGAATTAAGCTTCTTCCAAAATTTGGGTGTGTTTACCTACTTAGGGCTTTCCACATCAATTTGACAGATTTTGTTAAACAACCCCCTTTCCTGCTCACATTGTATGTCATGTCCAATAATCAGTAGTCCTCCAAAATGGGCAGCCTTCCCCTGCCTTTTTCATTTAGGGGCAGGAAGTTAAATCTCATTTCCAAGATGAATGTGAACATTCACCAGAACTCAGAGTACATTCTGTTCATGTTAATTTTTGGAATTGTTAATAAAAATTGTATTGTGTTACCGAAGAAATACTGGTTTTAGTATAAGGAACTGGCCACCCTCTGGAACACTGAGACTTGCTTGCTGACCCTGCTGTGCTTCCTGCTGCTTCCACCTGGAAGAGGTGGGGTCCTTTGAAGACGCCACCTCCTGATGGTGTTTTTGGAGTCAGGGTTCCTCGTGCATGCTTATACATTTTACAGAAGGGCCGAATGCTCAGAACTACACCGAACCCAGAATTTTTAATTCCTCTAGCAGTATTGACCAGCAGAGAGACATGGAGGTACTTGAGGCCTCCAACCTGTGTTTGTAAATAAAATTCTTCAAACATTTGAAAGGTCTTTCAAAATATCTATTTATAAAAGTTGTGCCCTTCACTTGCTTTACTAACTACATCAACCATAACAACAATGATCATAGTTTTTTACAAAAATGCTTTGTTTCTAAACTTGAGTTTCTTCCGTAACTTTAAAATGAGGTATAAGGATATCAGACCCATTTTTCAAAAGCCTGGAACTTATTTCTTTAAACATTGTACTAATATCCAATTTGTTTTTATTATCCATCAAAGATTTAAAAATTATTCTGCCCATGAATTAAAATTCTTATTTATAATATTTTTCTGATAGATTAGAAAAATCATATAATTTATCTTCATTATACTTGTCATATATACTTCCATAAGTAAATGGATTTTGAAGTATTTTTATTTTTGAACTTTATTTAAAAGCATTGTGATGACATGTTCAACTTTTGCATGTATGTAGCTTTTGAAGTGAAATAAAATAAATAGGAATGTTAGGCTCACATTATTAATGTTTTTTAATTTATGTTTATGATCATGAAGCATGGCTTAACATACAAAGTAGATTTTTATCCCAGAGGACTTGTGCCACTATTTCTGACCCTGTGGAAAACACCAACCGTGAGAAGGATTTAATTTGTCCAATTTAAGAACCTAGGATCTAAATTACTTCACGAGAGAATTTTGTCAGATTTTGCTTTTGAAATTGTTTTAACTGAATACTTAGTTCATAGAAATGTTGTATGAGCTAAGCTAATTTAATCAGTTTGATAACCTTTCATTACCTTGTTGGATTAAATAATCTAATACTCTTCTGAGATACAAGGACTATTTTGTGGGGCATGTGACTGTCATGTTAGGGTGGCACACCCATCTCTACTGGTACTAGGAAGAGTGAGATCTTTCAGTAGAATCTGGGGGTGGAGGGGTTTTCCGGCCAAACCCTTGGAGGTACAGCCTAAACTCTCCACACAGATACAGAAGCCAAAGAGCTCACTTTCTTGTCTTTGCAATGCCTCAGGGGCTGGGATGCAGAGCCAGGGACTCTGAAATCAGTATGTGTTTCACCTCCCATTATTCCCTAGGTTGTCAGAGTTTGGAGGCTTAACTGTTTACATTAAGGAAGTACACCTGTTAAATAAGGTCAAATAATATTCATTGAAAGTAACTTGTCTATATTTGAATTTTCTTTTGGAAGTACTCTCAAAGTGCCAACTCTCTCAGTAAGATTGCATTTCCTAAAATGCCTGCCACTTTTCTACATTTCTGAAATGAGGGGAGAGTTTACAGTGAACATAGATATGTAATATAATGTGGCTGTTAAATTTATGGTACAACTGATGGAAAAAGAAAAACTTTAAAGGAGTTTAACTTGACTTTAACCTTCACAACTTTCTTCTTTATATTAGCTCATCTGCATCATGTAAGTAGGCATAAGTAAGACTTTATAGTTGAAAGAAGCTTGGAATAAAATTGGGTCCACTAGCTACCCACAGAACCTTCACTAAACCTGTCCTTTGTGAAAGGACATTGGGCTAACAAGTGACAGAGCTGGACACTGATGTCTGCAGGCTACCTCCAGTCTATGATTCCCTAAACCAAGGACACACAAAGTCTGTCACCCTAAACCCCCAACAAGTCACCCTGTCAAAGACTCAGTATCTGATCCAATCTGGCCACTGATAAGACTAGATATATAACCAGACTTCGTCGTTACAAACAGTCCTCATTTGTCCCTCTCACTCTGCAGCAGTGTTACAGTATGGTATTTGAAAGTAGCCTGATTGTGACAGGACGCAGGGGTTGCTGTGAGGACCCCACCTGTGTGGCCTTACACAAAGCTGACATTGGGAGCCATCACGTGGTGGCGCTGCCTTCCAGCCAGTGGTCTGGCTCAGCAGCATAATTTATTCAGCTTTGTTGGTGTAATTATTTTTAAAGTCTACTGCATTTTGCTCTTAATGGTTTTATAAAAGTAGATACTACTAGTAGTAGTTTAGCTCTCCTATACCTAATAAAATACATCAAAGATAAAATTCTCCAGATGTGCTTTAAAAAAAATTTCAAATCTTAGACGCTCATTGAGACTTTTAAGCAGTTATGAAGAGAAAGAATGAAATAAAGTAACATACAGAAAATGTTTACTCAAATAAATATAGTGTCCAAAGGGGGAAGTAAAATTACAGTTTGATTTTTTTAGCTTTCTGAATATGGAACCCTTTTTTAAAAAATAGGCCTATTGTTTACTTTTCCTATATTCTGTTTCTATAAGATTTCACTTATTACAAATGAAAGTAGAGGACTGCCTGTAATAGTCTATTTCTTAGAAGAATATATTCAGATCAATTAAAAATTACCTAAGAATTTGGCGACTCAGGATTGTAAAAAGCCTGGGTAATTTTCTCTACAGCTTAGAGGAGTCAGAATGTGAAGAGAAAAAGATAGGAAGTAAGGTGCAGGAAAAGCCCCTGGGAACCTAGGCTCCAGTGTAGTACTACTAGTGAGTTCTTCCTCTACTTTTCCTGTGAGGAAAAAAAAATCCAAACAGATTTCTTACATACCTGACTATACTGTTCTGTTTGTATTTTCTATTATTTTTAATGTCACTTGAAAATCTAAGAACACATGATTTAGGCTAACCCATGCAGGCTGAAAGTCACCCTCTGCTGTTGTACACTTTGATTTTGCTGGAAGGACGCCATTTTTAAAAGAAGACTCGCAGACTCTTAGAATTTTAGAGTGGAAGGGACCTTCGAGATCATCTATCAGTGCTTCTTACCCCTTCACATGCAGAATAATCACTGGGTGCTGACTTTATATGCAGATTTCTCAGCCCCAATGTAAGAACTGATTTGGGGGCGGGGGTGGGGAGGAGTGGGCAGGTTGTGGCTGAACCTGCCTTTTTAGCCAGCTCTCCAGTGATGTTAACGTGGATGGTCCTCAGACCTCACTTTGAGAATCCCTCATTATATCCAACCCCCACGCTGACAATTGAGGAAATCCTCCCCGTCCCCAGCTCTCTCCGGTGAGTGACCTGATTAGAATGTAATACCAGCAGGGTTAGGATGGCAAAAGAAAGCCATTCTTACTGAGTCTTGAGCTGATGCTTGCCAATACGCACTTTAAATACCTCACTTTATGGCTAGGGCCACAAGCAGTAACAGGTAGCCCGTCTCTGCAAGTCCATAGCATAAAAGCTTTCATACAAAGAGGTGGCCTTTCTCTTTTCTAAATACCATCGCAGCTTGTTAAGAGGAAAGAAATTAATGCTCAGAAAAAGTAGTTATTCCGTATGTGTAGTGGATGCTTTCCTGTAATGTCTTATGGCATCTGGGGTTCAGCATCATTGAACAAGATTAAATGAATGTTACAGAGCTATAAAATTGCATGTAAAATAATGCAAAACTGTTCAAATGACTATCAAAGTAATCTGGGAGTGAATTTCTACTAAAATTAATTGTCACTCCTAGATGTAGTTTAGCAAAGCTCTTACTAAACTAGAAGGATTCTTTAATACATGGAAGTATCAAAAAAATCAAATAAGTATTCCCTAAACTGTGTGAATGATAAGCGAAGTCATCATGAGTCAGTATTTTCTTGTTCATCGTTCCTACTGAAATTTAGATTGCCATTGTATATATGTGTGTTGAATGTCCCCTACTAGAATATCCAATAAAAAAATAGCCTTTTGGATATTCTAGGCTCTTGTGTCCTTTAGAAGTCATGAGGTTGAAGGAATCTGTGTTAAATGTTTTGGTTGCTGTGTGAAAAAAGTTAACTCATTTAATGAAATGCAAGATTTTGTTATGAAAATTTCAGCTTCTAAAGTTCAAGTAAGTATTTTTCTTAAACTTGTATTTTGGAACAAGTGTTTATTTGAGAATTATTAAATTGGCAACTCTATGTTATAGAAATAAGTATGAAGTAAATATGAGTGCTTCTGAGTTTCCTAGAGAAAATTAATAGTACCTCTCATTTTTTTACATATGAAAAAGCAACTTTTAGTAAAGGTTTAAGAAGGTGAAAATTTAATTTTAGCACTTTACATTTTATGACAAATGGGGAACATTAAGGACCTTGGAGCATTTTAATAAACTAATAGGGTTTCTGTCTTTGAGTAGAGCTGTTTATTTTGTGAGCCTACATTAAATTCCTCCCAAATTTCTCAAACTTTAGTCAGGTAATATGGCCTACAATCACTGTATGGTTTTATAAAAAGTTTTAACTATCTTTTCAGTAACTGTTTAATAACAAGTCACCATCCCTTTGCATGTATCCTCACTGAGATTTCATTTTCATTTGAATTATGACAAAAAGGAATTTTGGAGCTTAAACTTGTGAGCACGCTTTAGTTCGCACCATTTGTCCCAAATTTAAAATATTATTAGTTGCATTCAAAATTATTAATTCTTCCAAACTGTCTTACCTGTGTAAGTTGAAGCCAGTTTATTGGCCTTATGTTTCGGATCTGCTGTGGTTCCCTCCCCCAACTGTATATACCATCTGTGCCCTGTGCAGTGGGGCCTTTGCGCATATGGCTCCAAGCTGGTGGAATGCCCCCTTTGATCTGGCTTCATCCAGTGATTTGCTCAGGATTTTTAAGGTCAGAATGAAAACTTTTCTGTTCTAGTTATTTTTTTGTTTTATATTGTGTGTTGTGTTTGATGTTCAGATACATGTGAAAGTTACTTCTATAAGTCAGTAATTTTTATTCCAGCCTTTTTGC